TATATATATATATATATATATATATATATATATATATATATATATATATATATATATATATATATATATATATATATATATATATATATATATATATATATATATATATGTGTGTGTGTATGTATTGTATGTATGTATGTATGTATGTATGTATGTATGTATGTATATATATATTAAGGCAGTGGTGTTCGAATTAGTCTTCTTTTTTTTACATTGAGCTTACCTCGTGTCAAGGCTAATTCGTGCTGCTTTTTCTTTGTCGCTTTCACGTAGCGTGCGACAGTAGGAGTGTTTTTATAGGTTGGACGAACTTGTTGTTCAACGAGCTCAGCAAAGCTTGATCCTTCCTTAACACGTAGTTGCTTGCTTAAGTTCAACGGTTCGTCCTATATCCTCTATGAGTTCTAGGATGACGCCTCGATAAGATTGTGCTCGGTGGTATGCTGATAGACCACCTAAATCGATTTTGTTTGAGTGTGTGAAGGCCAAAAAATCGACCCAGGTCAGAATGTTGACCAGTTCCTTCTAGACAATGGGCTTTTGAGAGTCGTACCACGAGGGCACTTTTATTGGTGAGCTGGTTAGTCCTTTGGGAAAGCGTACCTCTTGTACCCAAACCGAGTTAGCAACTTCTCTCGGAACACTGGTACTCTACTCGCCGTTGGATGCGGCAGCGCAGTCTTGTACCGATGTTATGTGGTCAGCAGTTGAGACTCCAGTTATAGAAGACCGGAGCCCGTAAAGAAAGTGAGGTCCTGTCCCAGGAATAGTGTATTCTCTTTCTTCAATCTCTCTAAGAATGGTCAAGGTTTCTAATCGATTGTCTGGTACTGGAAGGTTGTCAGCTTCACCGTCCATTACCATGGTGATGTGATTGGTAGTTGGAGGAGAGCCCACGCTTCAACAATAAGTTGAAGGAAGTATCTCGAGTAGTGAGAAATACGGGATGAGGATAGTGACCACTATCCTCGTCCCTTTATACACAACAACTTAAGAATTGTGTATATAAACGGATTGGAGTAGGATAGTGTTGCAGCATAAATTATTTAGTGCTGTTTCGTCATAACTCCAAGAGTTATAACGTACCAGCACGAGTAATTTAAACAGCAGAACTAACTACCCTTGGCTAAAACGGTGCAAAAATTAGAAATATGGTATGAACCGGGTGGCTGAGGGTGGGAGTTTTCCACTATCCTCGTCCCTTAACCCAACTTAAAGAGTTGTGTATATAAACGGACTGGAATAGGATAGTGGTACATACAGCATAAATTATTTATTTAGTGCTGCTACGTCTTAACTCCAAGAGTTATGACGTACCAGCACGAGTAATTTAAGCAGCAGAAATAACTACTCCCAGGTTCATAATAATACGTCCCGTAAACTCTCCATATTGGTAGTGCTCGACGGACTTTGAGGTATAAGGCAGTGGTGTCCGAATTATATATTTTCACGATGGAGCATACTGTTCGATTTGCGCCTAATGCTGTCTTGAACTAAGGGTGCTGAAGTACAGGTGTTCTATCGATGCTGAACCCACCATCACCAACGAGCTGGAACCCATAGATTTTCCATGAAGCGACTGCGTTGCGGCTCGAGAATGCCTTTGCAATAGCAGTTTGGAAACTACTTTCTCATGTGCAGCATTCACTTCTACGACTCATCGATACTCAATTTTGAATACGGTAAGTCTCATCATCGATGTCTTTTCAGCTCATTCCGTGTTTCACGTATGTCTTTGAGTATATCGGATACATTTTGATTCTCGGTTTTAGATCGCTTAAATTCTGGGCTCATATCAGTGTGAGCGTCTACTATCAATGCTTCTTGTTTCGCAGTGGCAGATTTTGTAAATACACATAAGTCCCGCAACCCCACAATGTTAATAAATAAATAAATAGGTGGTATAGATATATTAGTTCATTGATGTGCAAAAATTATTACTACCTTTTCTTGTCATCAAAACTTATAAGGTTAGTATGTTAATAGATGGACTACAGCTATTATATAAATAGACCGACTATTCAGAAAGTTAATAAAACTGGTATTTGTAATAATATAAAATCATCGCAGACCCTGTTTCTATTACAAAATGCGCTGTTCAACACAGCAGACAATCCCGGCTATTTTCACTATTGCATACATGTCAACCATGCTTTAGGCTTTACTTGTGACGACATACGTCTTCAACTTCATCTTGTTGCCTTTTCGCTTTTTGACTATGACGTTATGCTCACGTACTTGCCTAAATGGGTAAAACATGTTTGGGAGTACAGTCACAAAGTTGCAACAACACTCGTACTGAAAACAATAACAAAATGGTAAAGCGTATTCTACCCAAACCCCCTACTGCTTGTATTGAAGTGAATATATCCAAGCGTAATCTCATGGTACCTCTGTGTATGTGCTAATTATAGTGACTTCTAATGAGCTATCTCATGGACTTTCACTGCTAGCTAATTCAAATACCAGTGCAGAACACCCGCATGTATACGCCCTTGATTGTGAATGGGAGGTTACGGTGGATCTATGCAGAAAAACGACATCGTACAGATTGGCAAGGATAGGGTAGCCTTACTAGTACTGTTACAATATCTTATAGAAAATCTTCCTTGAACAATAGTCTAGCTTTCTATATCAAAATAATGCCACCTGGGCAGGCTCGAATGTAGTGTCTATTGATATTCGCCATATGCGTACACTGTACAACATGAATATGGTTGGAGGATGCGATCTAGCAATGTATCTCAAAGACAAACGTCTTATCGATCAGCCTCCAAAACACGGTGAAGATAGTGCTCGGCGAATACAAGCAGGTATCTCACAAACGACAGAAAATTGGAGTTTTACAATTGCTCTCAGATAATTCAGATTTTGTTAGAAATCGATATGGCCAAACAAGCGCATGAGGTATATGCAATTTAATTTGAGGTAGTAGGAGTTTGGAATATTCTTAAGCAAAGATAGCTCAATTTTATATCGCTGACTGTAGCAACAATCACAGTCACCGATATGGCTCGACATTGCCTTGTCTGTAATCACTGCCTAGTCGGCAAAGACTGATTGACAGAGGAATCCAATAGGAAATTCAGTTATATGCCGAACGATAACATCAAAAGCAGCAGTCTCGACCTATCAGCCGATGCCACTGCGCGATGAAAGTCTTGCCATCGATGCCATTCATCATTTCACTGATAGCCACGCTTCGGTGATTTTCGACGATTGCACAGCTGCGAATGCAAAACTGCTAGCTGCCCTTGTAGTGTGCCGAGATGATACTGATAATATTTGTGAGATTGTTGTGTTCACCCCTGTTACAGTTCACAATCTTTAAAATATTCGCCGAGGTATGTAGGAATGAAACGTGCACAACATGTTATTATTATGTGGCATGGAATCGGTGAGAGCTGCACAGTTTCATACATCCATACTACTGGTCCTATGTACGTTTATAAGGTGGGGCACAGAGAAATATGCATGAAGGTCTGTGTATGGTTCTTACGGCTCTGCAATTAAATAAACAAAAGTAGAGTGTCACACACTGGTTGTATGTTATAATTCAACTCAAATATACATCCCGTACTATGGATAGTTCAACTTTCTGTTTGCAATATCGAGATTATTTTGGTGCATTGCATATCGAAACGGTCT